GTAACCGTCCAGAAATAATGAAAAATAAGGAAACACAAACAGATTGTCTTATTGATATTGTGTCCATTGCCAAATTGACAAAACGCCATCTTATACAGTAAAATTATGTTCTATATACTTTGAATATTCATGATCACGATATTGTGTCTAAATTAGAAAAGATTCATTGTTAAGAACAATATGACAAACTAATGAAATATATTTCATTTGATAAAACATGAATTGATGCAGCCATTTTATTTGTCTATATCTAAATATCATGGAACATTTCATTTCGATAATCATTTTCTGGTGCTTTTAACTAATAACATGTCTGTCTGAAGATGATAATGTTTCAATGGTTTATTCCAAATCACAACAATGAATTGCATAGCTAGGTAATATTCAAAGTGAAGTATTTGGAATTTTTGTTTATTCTATAATTTCAAACGACTGTATTCATTCGTAGATAATGAGTGCTGACACGATCAATGCATAACTGACACGTGAAATGCAACAAAGCAAAATATCTGACATCGTTTCTTCGTAAAGTGATTTAGCTACAAATAGTAGTAATAAGGTTAAAGAATACTTTCTTGTATTAGAAAACTGTTTTTAAGACTTTCTCTAGAGACGAGTTTTTCTTGTGTTACGTATCTAATTCAGTTATTGTGAAATAATTAAATAAAACAACAATAAAAGAGGTGTTGAATTTCACATGTGTCACTACAAGAGATTAAAAGCGTTACTTGTGAAAGTCTTAAAAAAGATGCTTACATATACAGGTATATATCCATACGTTTTATTATTGCATTCTGAATGTTTATATTGATTGATTTTAATGAAATCTCAATGTTCGTAAAGGAAAACGTATATCATGTTTGATGGCTCCACATCGCGATATCCATAATCAGGGAACATTGCGTCTTAGGGAACGAATTCTCGAACCGCTATATTCCATAGGCCTTACAGTAACAATGAAAATGACAAAAAATGTTAAGCAATCTGTTTAATTACTTGTATGTGTAACCATACCTGTACCCTTAAATGGATTTCACGAACTTGGATAAACAGGGTCAATTGTGATAGGAATATACTTGAAATTAATCCATAGAATATATATATAAATATATTATGGAATCATACTACGATGAAACAACTGCAGTTGAAATATGTAATGCAAAGCAAATGGCAGACCATACTCTTTCCCTATACTATGGTAATAATAACCCACTAGAATGTCCATTTCATCTCAAATATCAAAGTAAACAGTTGCAATGGTATATAGCGTATATGTGTCTGCTGCAAATTGCTGATTATATTGGTGCACAGCAGCATACAATAGTATTACTGGAATAGACCAACACAAAGTTCATCCGAAAACACAGAAGATAGACATTTACAGTATAATAACACACTAAGTAGAATAACAGAACATCTCAATAAGTAGTAGCATAAACTGGTGAATGGCGAAGGCACCATCGATACGCATTGCAGGTGTAAACGAGTTAGGCAATATTTTAATGTTAACAAGATCAATGCAAAGTAATGTATATGTATTGCAAGCGCATTGCTATACACGTGCATCGTTGTACACGAAATACACACGTATTACATAACTAAAACTAATGTAAAATAACAACATTTCGTGATGTTGCCATGCATATATATTTCCGGATATAGAATTGCAAAAAGCATTTGAATTAAGACTTTGACCAGAGATTATCTATGTCAATTACAAAGAAAGATAAAAACGATAAAGAAATCACAGTCCAACGTATACATAATAAGTACAGCGTAATTAATGAGAAGGGTAGATTTCCTTACATTTTCTGATTGCCACCTAACACGTGTATGATACACATCAATACCAAAGTTAATTTCATATAACCATCTGGTAATTTGAAGCTGATCTTTGCCTTCTGATGATAATTGCTATCTTCTAATGTTATTTACACAGCGGTATTTATCGGTCTAAATGGCCCTCTTTTAACACATCATGTAAAAAGTCGGACAGTAATTCAAAGCTGTTTTTGCAGTGGTCTCACGAGAAAAATAATGTCTTCTAATTGTTCAAAGTGCTAAAATGTTAGATTTGAAGGTGGCATGACCGCGTTTTAAAATAACTAGAGGGAATGCGAATAACCGCGGCAAATTATGATTTATTGAAAACTTAGAAGAGCCGGAGCAAATTTCGAACATTAAAAGAAACATTATCTAAATGGTAAAATAGCTATAGTGGTGTGGGTTGGGATTATTTATCGTTCATAAAAAGCCATTTACCTCACGCAAAAAAAAATCACGGCCATATATTGGCTGTTCCTTTTTCTGAAGGGGGTTTCATAGAGATAGACTCCATTGTGTATGACAAAGTTGGAGTTGATTTATTTGGTTGGTTAGAGCCCACAAGCGTATGATGCTGTTTCAGTGTATATCACCCAGTGAAATTAACAATTGGAATGAAATATGGGTTGGTAAGCGATATTGTTATGGAGTTATTTAGGCTTACCACGTGTTTTCGGGTTTGTTTGTTAACTATGCCGGTAGCTATAGGACCTCCCCTGTGCCAGTGAACCCAGCCGGACGACCTGCTGATCCGTCCCCTCACACCGACTTACCGCCCAATGGCATACAGAAATAGGTGTTGTTCAATTGTACATTATTGATATAGTTCGGCTTAAATTTAGTTTGTTAGTTATTCAATTGCAAGCTGTATTTGTATATTGACACATTATAAAGACCCTATTATGATTTGAAATTAGGTTAACTGTTAATAACTAAATTATCCAAAAATATGCAGAATCAATCAATTCAGAATTTTAAAATATATTGCTAAATGCACATGGACAAAAGTAACCACTGTATAATCGCACAACTTTAAAATTTCCAAAAGCATCAACACTTAATGATTAAATATACTGCCCGAAAACACACATGGATAAATCGGCCCTTAAGTCAGTATATAAAGAAAAGAAAAGCGACTAGCAAGAGTTGTTATTGCATCGTAAGTTTAGGTACATCGGAACAAATATACATTTATATCAACATTGTCAGCGTATTATATTCAGATAATATAAATGCTAATTTATTCATGTAAATAAATAAGTAAAACATTACAGAAAACACTTATTATCAAAGTAAATAAAATATTGTTTGTATATCAAAGGTATCGATACATGGGTGTTCGGGTGTCGTTGTTGTGACTTCCCCTTGTAGATATATAAGGTTACTCTTAGCTTGTTAGACGAATCCTCTTCTGACACACAACATAAACCTAATATTATGAGGATATATTGTATGTGTCTTTTTTCTCGGAAGACAGGATGCATGATAAACTATCATATGGGGAGAGTGTATTGTTCCGTATAGTATCATATATGTCCGTATCACATCGCGTCCACACCTGGGATCCAGGCCCTACCGTATCTAACGACGGATCAAAGTTTTATTACCTATCGGTTTCAAGGTGTGTTACCAGCCGTCAGTCTTGTTAAGAGAGCTCGCTTTTTATACGATGTTATAGCAAAGATATTGCATTATTTTATTGCGAGATAGCATCTTATCTACCGTAAATTTTAGAAACATTGTCAATAAAACTAGCGGGCTTTGGTTGTCTGTTTACTGTATCAGAATGCTATAGCAACACGGTATGCTTCGACATGGCATGCCAAAGTTTTGTTCAAATTAAACCCAGTTTGATGGACGGCCCTCTATCTTTTACCTCGAAACTGGAACATAATTTATCACAACAAAGTCGTAAATAGTGCACCAAGTGACGATAGAAGAAATTACTCCGCCATCGAAAAAAAGGGCTTATTCGCTTATCTTGAAAGAGTGTAAATGTGAAATATTACATCTCTGACAACTGGTTATTAATAACCGATTTACAGTATATGTAACAAAAGAAAATCAAAGGGTATTTACTTTACAAACTATTCAAATAATAAAAACTGTAGCTTTAATAAAACTATATTAAAGTATATCACAATTGTAGTACATATTATTATTGATTATATTTACTAGATTAAATACGGTAGGTAAATAATGGTATATGCATATGTTTACATGGCGTTGTTAACCAGCAGAGTGGTGTTTGCACTCACTGGCATTGTACGACAAAGTATAGTTATCCGTAATGAGATGGCCTACCCGTAGGTGGTAAACATGTACGTGTACATTAATATACATGTACATGTATCTGATGACCACTATAAGGTTGATAACAAGCAAATAGTTTATCAGAATACAAAGTAACGTGAACTCTGGTACAAGCTTTCAACACACTTACGTCACAAATCGAACCATATCAAGTGTCAGCTTATAGAAATAGTTTTCCTTTATATCCAGAAAAAAATAATTTACAACGTGACTTTGAATTCAGTCAATGTAATTAAAACCATTCATTTGGGTTATTCGGTACCTTCCATATAGCACTGAACATTTCTGCTTTTAAACAATACACATTTTTGTTCATCGTTATGCGATTGTAAGGTAATATCCTCCGGTTCCTTTTGAATGAGTACATTGACTTGTTGTAGTCATTTCAAGGACTGAGACAAGGAGGTCAAGATGTTATACCCTACAGAAATGCAAGTGTGTCATACACTGAGTTAGTTTTGTCTTAGGCAACGGCTAGTGTAACAAAACGGCCATGCTAATCAATGATTGAAAGGACTGTAATCCGATTGTGCTTGTTGTAAAGCATGGAAAAGATTGGCAATGGCTGGTTCCGGACCTTCCCCTTCTTTGTTTTTTTATAAACACAGTAGAAGGCATATCATGTTTTGGTAAGACCACCAAGGATCGATTTCCGACTCACCTTACGGGTTTCCTTTGAGGGTAGTTACAATCTATGTGAAGTGTAATCGCATGTGATGCTTACATGACAACGTGTTTAGTCATTCTACAACCTTGTGACAAAGCTAAGTGTGTTCTTGAAGCATGTTCTGTATTTGCCGATCCCTGTCGGTTTTTTAACTTTGAGGAAAACATTATCACTTACTTTCTTTTCTATATTTCAGGACCTAATTCAAATCAGCGACGGAGAGGGCGACAGACGTATACAAGGTTCCAGACCCTAGAACTGGAGAAAGAATTTAAATTCAACCGTTACCTCACACGGCGGAGACGTATTGAGCTTTCTCATATGTTGTGTCTAACGGAGCGACAGATAAAAATATGGTTTCAAAATAGGAGAATGAAAGAAAAGAAAGAAGTTCTAGCTATTAAGGAACTAAACGAACAGAGTAAAATATCAGAAAAGGGATCAAGAACTGTACCGACCAGTCCACCTTCTCCAGCTGAATCGTCAAGCTGAAAGTCAGTTTGTGAAACGGAACCTACCTCCAAAGCAAAACGATTGTACGGAGCATAGCTCCCCCATATGCTTCTCCGACAAGATACAAATGAGTGTTCTCCCGCCCAACCGGTGGTTCAAAGGGAAAAAACAGTTCCGAGGAAGCGCATGCTCTCTACTGCCATTGGGGTCAGAGTTGGATTTGACTCAATAGTGCCCTGTTCAAAACGAGAATCTTCACCAATAACGAGAAACCTTAATACTTATATGATGAGATGTTGACTTTATTTACTTGGAAAGATTAGCGATGACATGACAAATGTAGTATGATGTGGATGTGTATGAAATATTGAGGTTGATTCTAACTTGGTTGTTGAACAGCTCGGACGAAATGTTTGGATTATAGAGAAAGCTTATCGAATGAAATGATACTCTATACATCAATTAGAAAGTCATTTTAGATACGGGATGAACTGTATATCACTAGAACTTGTAGTTCCTTGTATAGGGCTTTCAGTGGCAAGCTACACATCCTGTCAGGAAGTCTGGCTATCTCAACGAACCCTGACCAAACGAGAAATAGGCACCTATCATCGATAGGTTCACATAACCATTGCACACCAATGTTGGTGCATTCTAAATATAGCGATGCTAGCTATTCCCTAACTCATTAAAACTCATATAAGTGTTATGCAAATATATCGAATGGTCATTGTAGGTGGCATTATAAAACAGTTACCTTAACTCATACGATTCATATAGGGAGAGGTCCATGGTATAATTTGAAATCCACATAATTGTTATATTATTTGAATCCATTCATTTAATCTTATTATCTCAACATTTCAATAAATGGTTCTTTTAAACTTTATTTTCTGATATTCTAGATGACCTGTTCCAGGTGTCCTACTTTTAACTAATTTTCATAATGTATTTTCTACCAAGGAAGTGTTCGATCTAAGCTAAAGTTTTCTTCATTCTGATGTCGAAAACATCTGATTACTGTTCTGACCAGGACTATCAGGGATGGCAGATATATCATTTTTTTCCTAAATACATTTTTATTACAAATGTCAAAACTTGTTTTAATATGTTGCTTTAGCGTTAAGTATAATCGTTATGTATCTCTGGTGTCACCCATTCCTATTTTCCCACAATTTTGTCATATGTACCTTATCCCTAAAAAACGAGCGATTCCTTAATTTAAGGATTTTTATATTTGATTTATTGTTTATTTACATCGATATTAATGTTACGACTACATACTTTTATCTTCACGTTTCGCATATGTTACATATCAGAATAACCGATACCTCTTCAAGAAAATATAGAAGATTTCGTACAGAAGTATTATCTGACAAATCTTTATCAAACATACCAATCATGTGCCATACCACTGGGAAAGTTAGTAAAAGTCAGGTTTTTGACAATTTAACTTCCTACCACCGCCTAGATATTTGACAAGAGGTCTAAAACTGCCAGTCTATTAAAATATGTTGGAAACTATTATTATCTAACACTTATCATGCCTGTCATCATTTTTTTGAAAATAAATAAATGGTGCAAACGTCGCCTAGACACCTCAAGTGTGATGTAACTGCCAAATTTACTTCGAAATTATAGCCTAAGGTGATAACGTAATTATTCAGTCACCCGCTAATTGTGTGTTTTATAGGATGTTCTTGTATGCCAAAAGCATGGAGCCATATTTGGTATAATATAAATACACGTTTTGAGCACTTATATCTTATTTGTTCGATTTTGTCTTAAAAAACTATGATATCAATAGTCAATTTAACCTTTCGTAATATTTTTTGTACATTATATATTATAAAGATAGTTCTCTTTCTCTTGTATATATATGTATGCATATTGGTAACATCTCCGATACGACCAGACATGAACGATAACTTTGTTGTTCTAAAATTGATCTACAAAAAGTGGGATAACACATTTTCATTAATAACTTGTATATAAGATTAGCATTTCAAACATAGAAAAACATATGTATTCATGGTAAATGGTTGTCCAGATGTTCTATCCTCAGAGTGAACAATCAAACATTTTGGTTGTGCCCTTTCTTGTAAATGACATAGTGTAATAGTTCAATCAACATAGACCAACCGGAAAATAATGTAATGATTAAACGATTTGGAGTTACAAAGAGCAGCAATTTCACCAACGATATGTCAATTATACTTTCTTTAACGCACAATTTGTACATTTTATTTTTAATAACATTTAGGTAATTAAGGTAATCAGAAAAACAGGTTAATCTTCGTGGAACAAAAGTTATTATAAGGGTATAAAACGAAAGTTGTATTTAGTCAATATACTATTGTGTCAAATGTAATTTATCTATATACACCTATGTTATCATATGACAAAATTGTGGGATTAATATACCATTTTTCAATGTCCATGTTTTGTTTAATGTCGCCGTGTATTATCGAACTATACATGTATATATTTAATATGCATGTAGGTCCACGTTTAAACGAGAAATCTTCTAATTGAATTTTCATTGGAACATTATTTGTTAAAATATTTATATTACGATTCAATGGGTAAACATATATTTAGCGCCCGGTTGGCCAAACTATATAACATCTTTTATATTATTTTCTATAGATCCTTTGTTTTAAATATGTATGCCAAATACTGAAATGCAAGTATTGCATTTGGTTTAAATCAGCATGTGAGAGAGAATTAAAAAGATATATTTTCATAGAAGGTATAAGGTAGTTTAGATTAAAAAGTGATCTCTCAAGGTGTTACCTGCTTAATTTTGTTCAGCTGGGCGCTAAAATTTCTTTATTGTAGTCTTGTAAGGGGTAAATATATTTCTTTTTATATTTGTCATATTGGATGTGTGTATGTATGTCGATCATTCTTTACAGGCATAAAACTGAAAACGAGAAAAATTGCAATAAATTCAAATATTGTTGAGTTATCATACGCTTATTGTTGTTTGTTCGCTTATCGGTAATCACCATTGAATCACATCTGGTCCATTTAATTGTACCGATGTGTGTATTTTATCGTTAAAATTGTGATATTTATTCATAGTTGATCCATTTATTGCTAAGATCTATCGATTTTCCTCTTCTATTATTATATCTGCACACACGTTATAGCTGATCAATGGACAGTAGTACGCTTGACACATACATACGAAAGTGTGATAAGGATATAATATCGCTTTAACCAGATCTGAAACACATTACACAAATAAATAATGGGAATTTTTCATCAATACACGTTTCTTTGCGGATGGTGCATTTGCTAATTAGCGTGTATGGTCTGCTTGATAAAGCGTTTAAACTTATCAACTATGTAGTAAAATCAATATGTAAAATGCAATTCTAACCATTTAACTGACAAATGAAAAATAATTGTAGTTTGATCATTGACATTTTTTTTTAATAAGATATGGATAACGCCATGAAATAAGATATTAATAGTATGTGACTGATGGCGTGTATAAAGGAAGGACGTCCATGATTGTGCATTGTAAAAATACAACGGTTCAATATTTTCAACAAAATTCAGTTTCAATACAATTTCTAAATTTTATGAGGCAGATTTTGATTTGAGATAATAGATTGATAAAAAAAGTAACATCAACAAATCGATGTCAATCATTGTGTATCAATATGGGGGACACAATTACTTCAGAATATGTAGAAAGTAAATATTCTCTGTTTCTTTAACGTTACAAAAGTTAAAATGTTCATATCTAAAGTTACAATTTGGGTATCATCGCTGGAAAACATATACAATAAAGACATGTTCATTATGTAAACAATAAGTTAATAAGCCGAAAATGAAACTCTTACAGACAGGAAGGATACTTCAACCGACAGATCGTCACGGAGTAAACGTATTTTTCATTTAAAAGACGAAAAACTTATTCAAGAGGTTTAAGTAATTGTAGGAATGTAGATCTTAACAATCCCCGTCTTTGAAAATTGATTTTCTACAAGGGTCAGCATTATATCCTTCAGTTGACGACAGCAATATACGTACATCATCAGTAAGTACTTATATTAAAATAAATGCACTGTTGTTACAGTTTTGCATGCAAAATGTTATCATAAAAGCATTACATGGATTTGTATTACTTTGATCTTACATTTAGCTATACTGATGATTTAGCAGAGTACGAAACAAAATTTGGCGCAGTAAAACTTTCCTTGGTTTGGCTTTCAGCATCAACATAATGCATGGTTTGTTTTGATAATCGCCTCACTACTTTTAATTCAAGTAAATCTTAATATATTAATCACATTCATTTATAATAACGATAACAACCAAGTATTCCCCGTTCGCAATCATGTAAAGGAAACACGTAAAACATAATGAGAAATAATAAAATGATCAAGATTATTTTTATGTGACATTCTGCATTGAATTTCATACTGCAACAAGAGGAAGGTGTGTGCAATTCAGTCCTTTGCGATTTAACACATACTTGCACATTATGCATACCAATACTCATACGAAATGAGCTATATATCCAAGACATAGTCACGTTTACCTTCTTAAAAATACGCATGTCAAAAAGCAAACTGCTCATTAAAACATGAATACCCATTGTTGTGGATTTTTTCTGGTCTCCAAAAATAGCTGACATAACCAAATTGCCCTGACGTATTCCTTGCCCCATCGACGATGTAGGTATTACTATAATTAGCGAATTTCACTCTTCGCTGACCAACAATGCGCGTCTGTAATTGAATGAGTGGCAATAAAGAGGCGATTAACCGTTAAAATCAATGAAGAAAACAGATAGCGTGGTGTCATCATCTTCTGGTGCCTGTGAAAGGTTGTCTGCGCTTTTGTTTGAACACTTTCCTAACATTCTGGTCTAGACTCTTAGATCAAGATGGTATAGCCTTGAGGGTAGAATTTCAAAAAACTGGTAGTTGGTGAATCAGTATTTATAACGAGGTCCATCTAATAGTGTCTTTTATACGTCATAGTTCCTCGATAATACATACCTATACATTATTAGGAATGAATTATTAGTTGTAAAATGAAGAACAAACCCACATATCCAAAGTTGCTTTGAATAATAAAAATGGCAAAAGAAAGTTAGGGTAACGTGATAGTGACTTATAAAAAACGGAGTTTGTAGTGAGCAGCAGTGTAAAGGACATCTTATTAGAGTTATAAAATAACAAGAATTAAACGCAGAAGGAAAGTGTATTTAGCATTACAAGATACACACAAATCTATAAATGCAAGCTATCAAATCTGCAATGTTACCATACCTTTCTTCTTGTAACGTATTAATTACAATCCTATGCGCCATAACAAAGTTCTAACCATAACAAGACATAAGGAAAACAGACAACAACAAAACTCATTCTTTTGTCAGTTAGGGTTGGTATATTTTCATTTACTATCATCTATTTATTTCATTTTCAATTTACCATTTCTAATTTCCCGTATAATTTTAATACACGCGTTTTCTATCGTACAAGCTGACATAGCATAGACTGGTTGGATTTATCGAAAACATACTCGAATGTATATCATAGATTTGTTCAATTATATATAAGTTGTAGCAATCCGTTTTAATCCTTTGAACCAGGAGAAAAACAACACACAAAAAGGAAGTTATACAATTTGATCAAAAATGTGTAACATAACTGATTAAGTAGCGACAAGATGACTTGTCCCTAGTTTGTCTATGACCTTTGGTACTTATGATCAGCAAAATGGTACTGTCCACGTGGTGCAGTGAAAAATCAACCTTTTTTCTGACTGTTTCCTTCGACTCAATTATCTTTATTATAGGTGTGGAAGTTGCAAACGGATTATAGAAATCAGAAGACGAGCTACTATGGTTGTTATTAGATTAGTACTGCGCGATTCGAAACAGTTGACTAATTTCTCTTATCTTAATCATTTGCAATACATGTGGTATTGAAAGAGACAAATATGTGTAACAACTCTCATGTCCGATAGTTAACTTTTCTTTCCATAGCTGTAATATACATACGTAACATATCTACGTTGCTTATGGAATGGTATGTCAAAATGGACCCGCTACCTGAGAGCGTTACTAAATTAACGGTATTTCTTTGATGTAAGTGCAGTGTTAAACAATAAGCTACATCAACGGGGATCGCTGCCCCAGGCGGCTTCCATCTATGTTGGAGAAAGGTTGCAGATGCCATCATCATATTTTTGTCAGTTCTTTGATTCCAGTGATTGGATACTAGTCCATCATACCATGTCTCAGATCGTTGTCGACCTACATTTTTAGTCTATTCGACGGTTACTATTATTGCGGGCTCCTCGTGTGGTGACAGGAAGTGTAACATTTTTTAACAACTGGGTTTCGCCTTGGATTTCAGTGGAAGTTTCAATTTCCCCTGTTTTGTATTGATGAGGAATAATCCCCGAAGAGCTTGAGGAAGCGAAAGCTATTGAGATCTACAATTTGTGACATTCCATTAGATAAACTAATATGTATATAAAGATACGTTTCATTAACACTTGAAACAACATGTTTACAAAACTCTAGAGATTAAAAATAGAGCTATTTCATAACAAAATATGATTACGCAGAATTCACTTTAAAAACGTCCGTGATGCATGCTTTATGTAATGACGTTTGCTCTTACGAATGACCCTTCCATACACCCTCTTTGTCGTGAGAGGAGCTAGGAGTCGTCATTTTACACAAAACCTTGGCCGTACCTTTTACCGTAGATCACTAGCCCAGCTATTACTGAGGATGTTTTATGCGCAGAGCCGGTCGTTCTTTATGATACTTCTGGGAGAGCCGGTATTGGATCAAGTGCTTCGTGGAAGGCTTGACCCGAGTCGCAATCGATTCCCACTGACTCATAATTATTCCCTTTTGTTCTCGTTTAAGTCCGACGCAATCGTAACGTTAGCAACATTTAGCTTCAGAACAGGACAACTAGTAATGAAACAAATATTTGTATTCAAATCTCTTTATTTCTATCGGATCTCATTCAATCGTTCCATAGGAGGTGATAAATATTGATGACTGTGAGACCAGAATCTATCCGTGTCTAAGACAGAGACGTATTCTTGTTGTAAGGTCAAGGTCAGCATTCGTAATGTATCGTGATATTCCACATTAGAATGGTACAAGAGAGTAACCGAATTGTCGATGGTTTATGTGTGAAATCAATGAAAGGAGATTTTTTTATTGTGTATAAACACAGAGATAATCGAAATATCAACTTTATATTGCATGTACTGTTTGCATGCTACCACAATGCATATCTGTAATTAAAATGTTGATATTGCCTTTTTTTTACGTAATGATATACATAGACAAAATTACAGATAAATTCAGTGGAATTATTGATATATTTTTCAAATAATAAAATAAACAAAAATGACATTGTTTATTAATTGCAGTCTGTAAACAGCCTTAATAGCCCAAGTGTGTCAGATATGGTTATGTCATGAGTATATTTTCTATTGGCACAGAATAAACAAGTGAAGAACTGACATATTGTAATTACTTGTAAGTACGCACATATAATAAAACTCAGTTTGAACAGTACATGTACTAGCGTTACATACAAAATTTAGGATTCGAATTTTAAACTGAGACAAACGAGCAATATTGTCAAAATACACATCATATAGGTAACTCCTATTTTATTGGTGTTCATGTACCAAGCATTATAAAATTGTAACAATTTACATATGTTATTTGTAATTTGAGTAAGTGGAGATATCTTGTGTAACGTGTCAGTGGTCACAGTCGATATTTTTACACATCTGTGATTAATATTCTTCTCTTGATTTCTGTCACCTGCAAACCAAAATTATTTTCATTTAAATAACAGAATCTGATAGTGACGATCGTCAAATTTCAAACCAGTTCTACGTTGTTCCGCGGCGTATTGCACATTAATCTAAGTGGTGTCAATGATAATTAAAGTGTA